TCAGGTTCCCCCCAAAAAACGTTATCTTATAAGAACCTTTTATTTTTCTTAGTGTGGAGAATGTTCCATTTATATATATGTGTGTGTGTGTATGTATGTGTGTGTGTGTGTGTGGGTTGGTGACATGACATGTCTGTCACACAAGATCAAAATGATTATAATTAGTATTGTCATTATTTAAAATGCAGTAAATGATTAAACATTTCTTTGTACATGTACCTGATGTTATAAAAGCTGCTGTGCTATTCGATTTTTTTAATTCTTGAGCCAAATCTCAAAATTGTCATATGGTGTGACTGTCTCAAACATGGTTCAATAAATTACAGCTTTTAAAAAATTTAAAAAAATTGTTAATAAATACCTTTCAGAAGTGTCTATTTTAATAAATGGCAATAATTTTTTCCATCCATATATTTCTAAACTTGGTTCATTTTGTCAATGAAAACCATGTCCTCTGGTGTGACACCATATCCTGATTTTAAATTGGACAATTCCACAGACAGCTTTAATTAGTTGAAGGACCCCATTCAAGGTCATGTTACTGAAGCCCCATTTAGCTCAAATGTGTACATAATACGTTTTTGTCTCAGAATTGTTCAAATATTTAACTTATTTGGAAAAAAAAGTTTACGTTTTGTTGTCCTTTGGTGCAACACCCCTAAATTATATTTTTTAATTAAAAACAAAAAAATTGTAATTAAATGCAGTAATTGCATAAAAATATTTTCTGATAATTATATAGTTATAAAGTGTCATGAAAATAAGTATAAAATGTAATACTTTGTTTTTGAGACAGAAAGAATTGAAGAGAGAGAGGGCACGGAAATATATAGAGAAAATGAACAGAGATCCAAACAGAAGGGAGGAGATCCTAAGAGAATAATGCAGAAAGTAAATGGAATCAAAATGATGCATGAAAAAGAGCAGCCATATACTTAAAAAAATTGTTCACATCTTAATGAATAGAGTTTGAATATCAATCATATTTAGCTGTGCCGCAGCGGGGAGGCTCTAGAAGAGTTTCAGTAACATACTTCTCGCCTTCTCTTTAAAGCACTAACTACAGTTTCTGTCCTTTAGTGTGATGTAATGTCTTTCAGAGTGACGCACATAAAAGAACCACAGATTTGTTTTTATCTCGAAATATGAAAAAAAACAAACAAACAAAAAAACACAGTTGCGTATCGCAGTAGGGGAGATATAATCATTACTCATCTTAAAATGGTCTAATTTTCAGCAGTTTTGAACGGATGGCAGCAAAGTTTGTCCTGAAAATGTCCAACAAGTCATGGGGAACAAAATGATGTTATTCATAATTTCATATAAATAAATAACACTATATGAAAATAAGTGTCTAACGATGAAGATAAATCTCTCTCATGCTATTTGTATATTATTAAGTTTGTATATTATTAAGAGTATATATAATTCTTGTGATTATCCACAGCATTACTATTTTTTATATTATTTTCTTACATTTATCCTCTAATCCTGGCCTCTTAAGTTGCAGGCTTCGTCCACTAGATGAAGACAAAGTTACATTGTGTGCTTACTGAAGCAGGTAAAGTTGTTTCCAAATTAAAATCGATCTGTTCATGTGTTAAAAACTGATAGAGAAGACAAAAAAGTCAATACTCTTGTCATTTCAAGTCATGCCAAAACAAGTCATTTATTTTGCATTTCAAATTTGTCATAATTCTTTGAGGCTTTTAAACTATTATTGAATTTTCTGAAAGCTGTTTTCATTTGTCCTTTCCTACTTGTGTACATATAAATGAGTAAGAGTAAACTAGTTACATCCCCACACACTGGACAAAAAAGGTCTATCTTTTTCTATAACAACAAAAGAGGCGTAAACAACAAAAAAGGTTGCGAAAACCATGACCCACATAAAAACTGTGTTACATCTAACCTGTTACAGTGGACACCGACACAGCACATGTATAATTTAAAATGTGCAAAAATGACACTGTTGCTGGGAATTTATATGAAAAAATATTGGAAAATTATATGAAACAATAAGGTTTTAATATGGGTGTTTCTTCAGAAGATTGCAATCTCCGATTGCTCGAAATCAAATTTCCTTTCTTTACATTGATAATGAAGAATGAGTCTCGTCTGTGACATCAGCACTGATGAGTACGGTGTGATGTCACTTCATTTCAACAGTTACAAATGATTGTTACATTACATAGTTGCATGTGTAACTTTCTCATAAAACCGTATAAAAGACAGCCTTTCCTTTATTCATTAAGGTTGATGAGTGGCACATCAATACAAATATTAACTAGTTTCTGTACAACATTTACAATGAGTGAAAAATGCTACAACACAAATAGAACAGAAAGATATAAAGGCTCCTCTATAACCAATCCGATTCATAGTTATTGAAACAACCGAAACATTAATTGTTACATTCCAAATAAAGGGCATAAACAGAAAGAGATTAAGACCATGCAAAGAAACAAATTCAGTACAATTTGTGCAACAAAGCAAAACTAGTTTGTGACAATCGAGCATGTAGCAGTATTGGCTCCTTTCCCGAACTACACAAGAATTGAAAATACTGAATCACATAGTATTTGACTAGCTAAATCTGGAAAATGGAAATATGGGAATATAGAATACTGTGAGTGGCATGGTGATACATTCATGGGATGTACAGTTCAATGTGCAGCTTCCTATACCCATGGCACTGATGTACAATATCAAGATATTATTAGAGACCAAGACCAAAAAAAAGTATGTGTGTGTGTATATATACACACACTACTGTTCAAAGGTTTTTTTTATCATGTTTTTGAAAGAAGGGTCTTTTTCTCACCAAGGCTGCAGTTATTTGATCAAAAATACAGTACAAATGTATTCCTGTGATGGTAAAGCTGAATTTTTCAGCATCATTACTCCAGTCTTCAGTGTCACATGAGCCTTCAGAAATCATTAAAATATGCTGATTTGCTACTCAAGAAACATTTAATATTTTTTGGTGACCTTGAAATAGAGATCTTGTGTAACATTATATGTGTCTTTTTGATCAATTTAACACAACCTTGTTTAATACATTTGTTTACAAAAATCTTATTGCCCCCAACCTTTTGAATAGTGTGTGTGTATATATATATATATATATATATATATATATATATATACACACACGTAGACACACATATATTATTAACCAGACTTTATTATGGCCATAGTTTTGGGGCTTTTGTTCTTGTAAAACAAGAAGACTTTATTATATCATAATCATTTACCTCTCACTCATTATGTATAACATCCACCTCTTCCTTGAAACTTCAGTGGACTATTTCATCCAAATTCAGACTTCTCAGAAAAAGAAACCTTTCTTTTTCACATATTCTATAGAGTTTTCTTTCTATACGTATATACTATACTGTACAGCTGTGTCGTCTGTACTCACATAGTTCACTTGTGCTTCTCTACACATGACCCTTCAGTCAAAGGATGCTGATGGTCGGTACAGACCCGTTAGTTAGAAGCTGTATGATTATTTCAGCCCAACTGAAAGCATCAGCAATTAACAGCTGTGTATTTAATCTTGGTATGGCATGGCATGATTTTATTATTATTTTCACAGCAGACCACAATGTGTGTTGGCAGGAAACATTCAAAAGAAGTTCCCTAATCTGCTGATTACGGTTATTATACAGTCATGTCTTTCTATTGCTCTGTCTGTTGATTCAGTGCTGGATTGTTAAGACTTCATAGGCCAACAGCACTTTATAAAGATATTCTTAAAGGGCCCCTGAAATGCTTAGAAACACGCAGCGTTACTCTGTGTTGACGTCATTTTAACTGAAACAGGAAGACAGGGCGGGACATATCAAGCAGCCCCGCCCCTTTTTAAAATAGCCAATAGCGTTCGTTTATATCACAGCTTGGGCTAGAGCCGCTCAGACTCAGAGCCGTTGAGCTCAGTAAAGCCGCATTTAACGGTATGCCAGCCACAATAGTATCCATATTGCTATAAAATATAGCATTCTGTGTAGAATTCAAATAGCTCCGATACATTTTGTGGTCTGCGCCGACTCGCGCATGTGATCCGCTCCATGCTGTCGTGACTCTGGACCGGAACAGAGTGTGTGTGCGGGGCGGTGGTTATCGTGACATAGCGCCAAACCAGACTTCTTTTTGTCCTCGATGGAAAGCATATTTATACTGTTTGAATCGTTCCCTGTCCCCTATATAGTGCACTACGTGCCATTCACTGTACAGAAAATACTAATTCTGTGGACAAGTGACCGATTTCAGCCGCGGCTTCAGTCTATTTTATAGTGTAGGGGGCGGGGCTTCGGATTCTAGAGAGCATTTGATTGGACAGAAAGTTTGATGAGAAGCTGAAGTACGACGTGATGTCAAAAAAAATCGTTGAGCCGTTTTGGCGGAAGTGAGGAACTGCAAGCTTTGAATGCTTATATCTTCTAAATGCGAATTTTGTCACTGTTTTGGAGCACACTGCCTTATAGATAACCTTAAGACTAACATATTGATACTAACACCCAAAAAACTTATTTTGATTTCATGAGGACTTTAAGGGCTGATTAAATGTTCAAATAATATGAATAAACCCCACATGCCATAGGGTGCATGTATAGCTCTCCTATTGGTGTAATCGTGTCATATTTAATAGAATTCTACTTGTTTTGTTCATGTGTAGAATACAACACTGAGTTGTACATACTCAGAGGTAGTGTGTATATATATATATATAATTGAGAGCAAAAGTACACTTCTACTCTAGATTCCAGTTTCATCACTTGTTTTTGTCATTTCTACAGCCTAAACGCACAGCATGATGACATGAGCAGTGATGGAAACCGTGACCCACGTGTGTGAGATAATTTCGACAGCAACTTGCACTGTAAATACATGATGACTTGGTGTAAGAGGGCAGAGGTGGTGCGTTTCACACCCCTGGCCTGAATGGGGAGCTCTCTGCCGAGTGTGAGTCCTCTATCCGCTCTCAGCTCAGGAGCCTAATGCTTGATCTCTAAAATGGAGGGGTTGTGGTCGAGGATAGCCAGGATGATCTTGTCCATGTACTGCCTTAAACGGAAGTTGATCTCCTCTTGTTCTTTCAAAGCTTCAACAAGCTGGAAGGATGGAGAGATTGACCAAATGAGTGACAAAAAATGATGATATGTCTTCATGTAAAGCTAAAGGACATTTAGTAAATTCCTCTAGATTAGAGCATCTGCTAATGTTTAGCATTCTATGTTTGTGTTTAGTATTTTATGGTTAGCAGTCTAATATTCACTGCCATTATAAAGCTTGAAAGAGCCAGGTGGTCGAGGATAGCCAGGATGATCTTGTCCATGTACTGCCTTAAACGGAAGTTGATCTCCTCTTGTTCTTTCAAAGCTTCAACAAGCTGGAAGGATGGAGAGATTGACCAAATGAGTGACAAAAAAATGATGATATGTCTTCATGTAAAGCTAAAGGACATTTAGTAAATTCCTCTAGATTAGAGCATCTGCTAATGTTTAGCATTCTATGTTTGTGTTTAGTATTTTATGGTTAGCAGTCTAATATTCACTGCCATTATAAAGCTTGAAAGAGCCAGTTGATTTTTAAATAAAACTCAGATTGTATTTGTCTGAAAGAAGAAAGTCATATACACCTAAGATGGCTTGAGGGTGAGTAAATCATGGGGTAATTTTCATTTTTGGGTGAACTATCCCTTTAGGGTACAGAATCGTTCTAATCATCTAAAAACAATATAACAACTAATATCAAATAATAATGATTAACAGGTGCAAGCATAGGCAGAGGTTTTATTTATAACACGTGTTTGCAGAGTTGATCAATGTAGCCAATCACAGACATATCTGTTGATTTCTGCAACGCAATGGCCAATCAGAGGTGTTTAAGTTAGAATCCACTCAACGCTCGAAATGCTGGAGTTCTTGTGCAGCGCTGAAAATTGCGTGCTCACGAATCCTCTCATTATAACACATGAAGTGTAAACATATGCAGTCCCTCAACGGGACCAGGCATAGCTAGTTAGTGAGGTTCAGTATTCCGCAGATCTCTGTACACTCTGAATGTTGTTCTCACCTCATCTCTGGAGGCATTGTCTATCTCTGCTGCCAGTGACTGGGCCTTGGTCTGACATGCGAACAGGTTTTTGGCCTCGTAAAGGCTGAGGCTGAGAATCTGTCCATTCAGATCATCGTTCTGGTCTCTGAATTTATGGTTCTCCTGTTAATGATTAAACACATCAGTGTACTAAATGCAAGGAAGAATACAGTATGCATTTATATAATATACAGCAGTGGATCTCACTAGGGGGACTCAGCACACTTCCAAGGGAGCCACAAAATGACTTAATATGATTTAAAATAAGACTAACGTTTTAAAATAAGCTAAAACAGCTCAAATCAAGGCATATTTCCTATTTTAAGTTGTTCTTTTAATAACTCTCATTTTGCTTAAGAACCAGGATTCCCATGGCCTTGGGAAACCAGCTTAATGTATATGAGGGAATTTTAAAAGTGTGATTTCCAAACCTGGAAATGTCACAGAAATTTCTCTAATGCATTAATAATCCCATTGCTTTTAATATATTTAATTTTATACATTAAAGGATTAAGGATTTGAATATATTGCCAATCCTAGTTTATGTAAATTAATTTAAAAAACAACTGAAAACAAGCAGCTTTGTCATTACAGCAGATATATCTTAGACTACATGAATATTGTCTTGGAGAGTGGAAGGCCTTGGGGTAAAAAAGAACCACTGATACACAATATATTACATATTATTTATAGCAATTCTAATTCATATCCTTATATTAAAATCTGACCATATTCAGTGAATAATATTGAAAAACATTTTTCAATATAGTGCATTTAATATAGTGCATAAGCCACTTTTGTGATACTTTCATGCGCTTTTTGGAGCTTGAGAGTTGTTGTAAAGTGTACACAGAAACCGTATAAACAATCATGGACCTGATTGATTTGCAATGATATTGTAAGGTAACATATCACAGACAGCACAATAAGCAATATCTTTCCACTGTACCTGCTTAAGCCGTTTTACTTCGTGCTCCAGTTCAATCTCTCGAGTCTTGGCATTGTACTCGGACAGTCCTGCGGCGTTACGGCCACGGCCGGGCTTCTCAGCCTCCAGTTTAAAGAGTTGTAGGTGCTCCAGTTCACGCCGCAGGTCCTCAATCAGCTACATGCATGTGTGAATTGTGTGAGAGGTCTGGAGATTTGTTTATGTATGCATATCAATTCTAATCTGCAATGAAAATGACACTGTGTTACCTCCTGCATGGCCTCTCGCTCCTTCTGAAACTCATGTCTGTTCTGCCAAAGTTTATCCATCATTTTCCTGTACAGATCCATCTCATCCTTCAAACGCAGGCTTGTATCTTCCAGTTTATCAGTCATACGTTGCTTCTCCTGTGCACAAATATACATAGCGAGGATATAGTTGTTGTGTCTAACATCATTATTGTCTCTATAGCGAGACATTAATGATTTAAAATAAAGCCACACCCACATATTTCTCAACATCATCGCTTTAATGACTGCTAATTAAATACGTTTTTTGACAACTGGTTATATTTACTTAGGACAACAGAGCATATTTTCATTAATATTGCTGATCGTGGGCTGCTTTTAAATGAACATTTATTTATAAAAAAAAATAACTTCTTTGGCCATATTAGCCTCCTCAATAGCATTAACACAGGTTTTACTCCTTTCAAACTTTATCTGGAATGTCACAGTTTCTGTCGCTGCCACTTCCCGATCAGGCAAACGAACACACACACGAACCGTCTGCCTCACGGAAATAAATTTAGTTAATATTTGCATCATTTATGATTTATTTTATCCACCCGCAAATAATCAGAATGCATTTTAAAGCGGGAGAAACAGAGGTCTCCCCGGTAACAGCTGTACACAAAGCAGCGCTGAGCTCACAAACTCTGCTTTATCAGGCATATAACATGAAAGATGAAATGAAAATGACATCGAAAATTTTCTTAAGATAGTCTTCCTTCAGAAATACAGTGATATAAAAACACCCACGCCTCGTTTTGATTTTTAAATGTGCAGTAAGTGCTCATGTTTATTCAACGAAGCCTTTTGTAAAATTGCTCATCACTCATCACCTTAACTGCGTTTGTAGCCGGTGCCATAGCCAGACTGATAAACAAACACTGACCGGAAGTTAACTTCGGGCTGGGCAAGGCGCGTGCGCCCGATGAAACCGTCTATAAAGCTTTAAGCATCAGAATCAGCATCGGTATCGGCCGATCACCATGACAAGAAATCGGTACTCAGTATCGGCTGCAAAAATCCTGATCGGAGCATCCCTATGTGGCACTGATATATTATCTGCTAGACAAAATAATAAATATACCCAAAAATGAAAATTACTCACCCATGTCATCTCAAATGTATATGACTTTCTTTTTTCAATGAAAGATTTTTATTAAAATAATCCATATGAGTCCGTATCATGCAAGTGGAAGGGACCCTCAAAGTTGATGCTTCAAAAACCACACCTTTATTTCTGAGAGTGTATGGATTTAATGTGTCAACTTTGAGGGTCCCATCCACATGCATTTTATGGACTCACAGAGATGGGTTATTTTAAAAAAACAATCTTCATTTGTGTTTTACAGAAGAAAGAAAGTCAAATACATCTAGGATGGCATGAGGGTGAGTAAATGATGATAGAATTGGAGTACCGATTTAAGGCATTTTAGAGATACTATTAATATTTCTTGTGAAGCTGCTTTGAAACAATGTAAAAAAAAACACTATACCAATAAATTTGGCTTGATTTGACTTGAGTAAAAAAATCAAGACAAGTCAGTTCACTTGGCAGCCATTTCTGGACCTCATGCAGCTGTTTTTTAGGTAGGCAAAACTAGGCAGTATGTGTACAAGTACGTCTCTCATCCACTTGAACAAACTTTGAAAACTTGTCACCTGTGTATTTAATGTTTCATTGCATTTCAAATCAGCAATAAAATCTGATAACAATTTCACCATAAATGTAGCTTCTTTAGATGATTTGAAACAAAAAAAACCGCATTTTTCAGCCTAGTCCACAAGAGGACCTTTAATTTTTTAGTTATATCAGACAGTGACCTAATTTTTTTAGCTTTACATCACCTTAACTGCGTTTGTAGCCGGTGCCATAGCCAGACTGATAAACAAACACTGACCGGAAGTTAACTTCGGGCTGGGCAAGGCGCGTGCGCCCGATGAAACCGTCTATAAAGCTTTAAGCATCAGAATCAGCATCGGTATCGGCCGATCACCATGACAAGAAATCGGTACTCAGTATCGGCTGCAAAAATCCTGATCGGAGCATCCCTATGTGGCACTGATATATTATCTGCTAGACAAAATAATAAATATACCCAAAAATGAAAATTACTCACCCATGTCATCTCAAATGTATATGACTTTCTTTTTTCAATGAAAGATTTTTATTAAAATAATCCATATGAGTCCGTATCATGCAAGTGGAAGGGACCCTCAAAGTTGATGCTTCAAAAACCACACCTTTATTTCTGAGAGTGCATGGATTTAATGTGTCAACTTTGAGGGCCCCATCCACATGCATTTTATGGACTCACAGAGATGGGTTATTTTAAAAAAACAATCTTCATTTGTGTTTTACAGAAGAAAGAAAGTCAAATACATCTAGGATGGCATGAGGGTGAGTAAATGATGATAGAATTGGAGTACCGATTTAAGGCATTTTAGAGATACTATTAATATTTCTTGTGAAGCTGCTTTGAAACAATGTAAAAAAAAACACTATACCAATAAATTTGGCTTGATTTGACTTGAGTAAAAAAATCAAGACAAGTCAGTTCACTTGGCAGCCATTTCTGGACCTCATGCAGCTGTTTTTTAGGTAGGCAAAACTAGGCAATATGTGTACAAGTACGTCTCTCATCCACTTGAACAAACTTTGAAAACTTGTCACCTGTGTATTTAATGTTTCATTGCATTTCAAATCAGCAATAAAATCTGATAACAATTTCACCATAAATGTAGCTTCTTTAGATGATTTGAAACAAAAAAAAACGCATTTTTCAGCCTAGTCCACAAGAGGACCTTTAATTTTTTAGCTCACGACATGGCGGCAGCAACAACAATACTACAGTGAGAATAAAAGTTACGCCTTCTTTCTTTGCGTGAACATTTGGGTGGCGTTATGCAAATCTTCCCACATAGCGACGTATGTGGGGGCGTGTAAGAACGAACCATTTTAGGTAGGCGTGGCTGACTCTTAACTTTTATAAAGAATATCTCTTTGGATTTGAGACTTTAGTCTTTGCAACTTTACAGATCTTCTTTATGCACCAAGAGCTTGTAACACTCCAAAGAGAAAGGAAAAATTGAAATGAGAATGCCCCGCCCTCTAATACAAACTGCAACTCATTTTCAGCTAATAATTTTTTTAACCCTCCTAAATTTTTTTAAAAATTGTCAAGGTGTGACATTTTTTTATAATGACTGACTCATTAAGTCCTTTTTTGTTGTTGTTTCAGATTGCATATTTAAAAAAATCTACATCATATGACCCCTTTAAGATAGAAGACCCCTTTAAGATAGAAGATCCCTGTCTGCAGTATAATGTCTCGGTGTGTCAGCAGCAGAGGTGGAAACCTCATAATGCCCATGATGCTTTAAATCTTGATTCAGATGAAAGATTGCAGTGTCGTTCTCCTGAAGTGCCAAATTTGTTAGGTGTCCACATAATAATAAAAGGATTATTTCAGCAGTTTTCATCAAATTCCACCACACACCCACCCCAGGCTTTTCTTGAGGGGCTCAGTTTTCCCTCACTGTCTGATAACATTCACAAAGATTAGTAAACCCTTGACTGGAACATTGTTGCTATGGTAACAGCTCCTCTGATGAAACCCATCTCCCGATACAGCTTTTGACAGACCGGGGTGATTAAAGAGACTCATAAAAATATATCTAGCTTTACCTAGAGTGAACTGAGACATAAAGAATCCTCTCAGAAGTGCAGGGCTATGCCATTTAATATGAACTATGGATGCTGTAAAGTTAAGGGCACTAAAGACAGCATTCAGACTGAGACATGGACATGTAACCGCTGAATTAGGAAAGACAGGATGCTAGATAAACCACCCTTATGCATAAAATGGCTCCAGAAAAAAAAATACATCATTACAACATAAATATATTTCTAGTTCATTATTAATATGCACTGCATCAATTAAGAAAATAAATAAATCCTAGATGGCGAAAGAGGCAAGACAAATGTAAATAAATACATGTATATTTCAATCAATACCCAACAACAACAAAAAAAACATGCAAATAAAAACGTCGTGTGTAATCAGAAATTGTTTCCCCAATATTTGTGTGATTTGTGTATTTTATGCTTATAGAGTGCTGCAGGAATGAGTCCTGAAAAACAGATAAGAGGTAGCATTTTTGAACTTTGGGTTCCATCATTCAATTTTTTTTATTTAATGGGTTTTGGTTAATTGTTTGAAATAAAGTCTGTGGTTAACAGAAGCTCAAGATATTTTCACGTTTTATTCTACTACATAGAATACATCCGTAATACCCCCCTTTGTGATTTTTTTAAGCTTTTATGCGTCTTGAAAAAGGCTGTAGCTAGCAAGTGGCTAACTGTGACTAGAGGTTTTTTGCACTGGATTATTATAATTAATGACAAAAGGAATGTTTGGAAATGTAAACTGATATTACCTACTGACACACTACAGCAAAAAATAGAAATAACTGACTTAAACATTTTTTGTTAAAATACTAATAGCCTAAGACCTTTGCACAGTAGTTTATATTTCTTTAATTAAATAAATGCCAGTCAGTTTGATATTTAAATAAATAATTGACTTAGGGTCCCTAAGGAACAGGTTTAGACATACATCTAATACTGTAGGGATCTTTACTACACTCTCTATATTACTACTGCTTGATTAGCACAGGAATGTAATAGTCAGCTGCTCTGCGCTTTTTTGATCCCTTGCTCTTTTTGTTAAATCTTTATGCTAAACCATATTTCCCCTCTTCCTTATTTTAGGTTTCTCTTTTTCTTTACTCAGTAGTATAGAATGCATTAAAAAAATTGTCTTTCATTCAATCGCAAACTCAGCCTTTTCCCAAAAGCATTTAATTAATATCAGAGTGTATCTCGGTGAGTACAGCAGTGTGCTAATGTGTATCTGAAGTGACCCCTCTCACATTCACACATCAGCGAGCCCGCTACCTTTCTTTGTAGGTCACACACAATTTTCGCTCACTTCTCCACTCGCGCAACATGGCATATTTAAGAAAAGAGACATACACTAAATCAAAAATAATACAAAAACCTGATGTAGGATTTTTTCAGAAATTGCTAGTAACTTTTACAAAGCAGTGACACGACATATTGAACTAAAATGACTGAAGGTATTTTCTTGTACAACATACTCCAATAATCTTTATTTTACAATTTATACTGATTAATAAAATCTGCAATGTAGAACCAACCTGCAGGATAA